TCTGGCCCCCGGCGTCCGGCGCTCCCGACATCATCAGGAACAGGACCACGGGCACGATGTACATCCACTGCGGCCACAGGACAGACGGACAGACAGAGAGACAGGCGGGGAGGTGAGTGGGGCGCGCCGGCCGCGGGGAGGGCTGGCCCCCCTAGTCACTATGGGGGGGGGGCGGGAGGGGCGAGGCGGGCGGGGCTGGTCCTCACTCAGGCCTCCGGCGTTGGCGCGGGCCCCGGGGCGGCAGGACGCAGGGCTGTGAGCAACACGGCCCCCCCCAGGATGAGGTGCCACTGAGGAGGGAGGGGCACAGGTCAGGGGCCCAGGCCTCGGAGGGCTGGGCCGCGAGCAAGGGGCGGGGAGGCCCGGCCAGCGGCCACAGGTCCAGGGCCCGGAGCTGAGAGTGCGCGGGGCGGCAGCTCTCACCGCCTCGCCCCGGGCAGCTAGGCCTCGCGGTGCCCTCACCTGGCTGGGCCTGCACACAACAGCGGGGGGGGGGGGGGGGACTGGGTTTTGCCCGAACCTCCAGGTCTCGCCCCCCCACCACCCAGTACCACGCCTCCAGCCTCCACAGCCCCCTCTGACCACGCACAGGCCCTGCCCTACTGGGCACCGCTGCCCCGTGCCCCGCCCCCTCAGCGCCCTCTCCAGGGACCCAGACTTCCCCTTCCTGCCCCGCCTCCTGCTGACCACGCCCCTGCCTCAACCCCTGTAGGCCACACCCATTGCCTCCTGTCCCACCTCCTGTGGATCCCGCCCTCCGCAGGTCACGCCCACTGCCTTCCTGCCCTGTCTCTGCAGGCTACACCCATTGCTGGCCACACCCACTGCCTTCATGGCCCATCTCCTGCAGGCTCTGTCCCGTGCAGGCCAGGGTCACCACGTGCAGGCCCTGCCCCTCCGGCTGCCTACCCTAGCCACCTTCCCCCACAAGCCCCAGCCTGGTGTGCCCAAAGGTCTCCATCCCAGAGGGGCTATCTGGGCTCCTTAGGGACACCCACCCTGCTGTTCTGGGCCTGAGCTGATGCAGGTCCACAACCCTGGCCCCTTCACCCAGGCCCACAGGGATGTATCTGGGACACTGGACAGGAGTAAGGAGGCCCAGCCAGCTGGGTAGGGCCTGGAGTGGGAGGGAGGATAGCCTCACTCACATATTTGGCGAAAAAGGACTTCTGCTCCTGGGGGTTCTTGGCCTTCTGGGCCTGCTCCATCTCCAGGCGCTCAATGAAGGCTGCTGTCTCAGGGCTGGAGGTTGCAGAGGGAAGGGGTGAGGGACTGGACCCCGATACCCAGGGACAGCCAGCTCCAATAGTGGCCAAGGCAGCGGGGACTTCCACAGCCTTCCCTCCCTCCCCCTCTTCCTCACCCTGGGGCCGTTCCTGGTGGCCGCAGCTGCACGGAGGTATTGAACAGCTCCAGGTCCACATCTTCCACCTCCTGGCCCCGGCAGCCCCCAGGGTGTGTCACCACCGATATGCCCACCACATTGCCAGCCACGTCCACATGCAGGGTGAGATGGTCTGAGAGGTGCGACTCGACCAGTGAGCACTGCGGTGGGGTGCCACCATCAGGCCGGGGGTGGGGACAGGGAAGAAGGGGCTGCTGCCCCTCTACCCCACCGACCCCAGCAATGGCCTGCTACCTTAGGCACAGGTCCGAGTTCAATACCATGGGGGAAGGCCCATCACTGACTTACCGCTGGGACAAAGGATGAGACATAGCCACCAACTTCTAGACTGTTGGGGGATCCTGGCCTCCTGGGGACTCGGACCCGGTACAGGCCATTCAGGGCTGCCACATCCTTTAGGACATGCAGAGAAGGGCAGCAGTGAGAGGTACAGAGTCTAGGCCTCCAGGCCTGGCAGGAAGGCCTCCCCCAGACTCAAACCCCCAGCATCCTACAGTCCCTGGCCTGGCTCACCCAGCTAGTGGCTGAGGCCAGAGCAGCTGACCTTCTGACCTGGGGGAGAAGCCACCCAGGACAGTGAAGACCAGCTCAGAGGCAGAGTGAGTCCCAAGGACATTTTCCCAGATGCTTTAATCAAGCCACAACTGACAATCACCCCACGCTAGACCAATTGCCCAAGGAAATAAATTGTCTTTGGGGGGCAGCTGGCACAGAGAATCATACAGGTCCCAGACAGAAAGGCTGGTAGTGGAAGACTGACACCCCCTCTCCCACAGGGAAGATGGCCAATGGGCTCACAGCTGCCAGCGGCTGGTTCTCAGCCTCTACACATAAAACTGAAGTGGGACTGGACCATGTTTGTTTTCATGGGGGCTGGCCTTCTAGGTAACCTCAAGAAAGAAAGAAAGAGAGAGATAGAGACAGAGACAGAGAGGAGGGAGGGAAGGAGGGAAGGAGGAAGGAAGGAAGAAGAAAGAGAGAATGAGAGAGGAAGAAAGAAAGAAAGGAAGGAAGGAGAAGGGAGGAGGGAGGGAGGAAGGAAGAAGGGAAGGAAGAAAGAAAGAAAGAAGGAAGGAAAGAAGGAACAAGTCCTTCTGTCAAGAAGGATTCTCTGGAGGATTTTTCCTCTCAAGCAAATGAGGGGCCCTGAGCCAGGCTCCAAGAACCAAGGTGCTATCCAGCCTGGAGGGGCCACAGGAGGAGCTGCTAATCCTGCCTGGAACTGGGGAAGCTGCACCAATCACTCAGTGCCCTCATGCCCAGCACTGGGGTAGCAACCTCACCCGAAGTCGGCCTCGCTCCTCCTCACTGAGCTGCCGCTGCGTCAAAGACAAGGTTCCATCCTGCTGGTTCCAGAGCAGTGAGCCCCGCTTCCGGAAGTTGGCGGTGTCATCTGGGAGGGAGGGGGTCCAGACTCAATGATCACCTTCCCTTTCAATCGTGGCACAGGGCCGAGATCAGGATTCAGGCCTCAGCCTGGTCTCCACCCCAGAGTGACCAGGTGGCTTCTTCATCCTGAGCCCCCAGTTTACCATCTGCAAACTGGGGACACCGCTACCACATCCTGCCCTCTGCAAAGGCACCAGGTTTCTTTCCTTCCAAGTGAGGGCAGTGTGGGACTCACCAATCTCAAAGGAGTGCTCCAGCAGCAGCCCCAGGGTGCCACAGCCCTCGCCGTCTCGGCCATCAGCCCCAGCCTGCAGGAGAGACAGGGTCCTCAGATAGGGACCACCCTAGGTCTAAGCACGACAGCACTCACAGGACCCACGGCAGATTGGAAGACTGAAGGAGGAGCCTCATTTTCATGCTCATATCCAATCACACATCTCTATCCTGCAGGAGACGCCCACTCATGAATATTCATGATCCAGACTCCCATCCACTCCTGTAAAACTCTAGAAAAGTGCTTAAGCGTTTCCTTCATTTCCAAGGCAACCATCCCAGTTTACTTCATAAATATTCCCCATCATAAATATTTCAGCATCGTAATTATTCATGGGTTAAAGGACAACCTCCATTTCCATTGGACCAACATCCAAATGTCTTCATTTTTACCTTAACAGTCCTAATAGTCAACAACCCAAAAGATCAAAGGTCCAACCTGGGTCCAGGGCATTCAACATTCCAAGCCTTTCACACCTTCAAATCTCTGCCTCTGCATCCTCCACCTACTTCCGGCCCTGGCTGCTCAGCGATTCCCCTCCCCCCCACACACACCTCATGCATATTCACGAGCAGAGAGCTCTAAACCCTGGAGCTCCGCCCCCAGCTTTGCATTTTGATAAGTCGGACACCTGATTCGCCAATGTTCCTTCCTGACCACACCCCCGTGTGAATATTTACCAGCTTCTATCCGGGCATTAGAGGACATTGGCCCCGTCCTGCTTTTCAGTTCAGCCCCTATTCCGCCTCAGCCAATCCGTGGACGATTCCGTCCTAGCCCCGCCCATCACCACATTCAAGACTGAACAGTTGGCCGGTCAGTCTCCGCCGCCCGGAGCAGACCAAGCTGCGTGCGTGTTGAGGCGCCCCCGCTTTCCCATGTCCTCTAACCTCTTGACTCCATCCGCCCGCCCGCGTTAAATCTACCTACCGACGGAGAAAACACGACTTCCGCCGGCTCCGGCCGCCGTACGGAGCTAATGAACACTCACCCCCCGCGCAGTGGCCCCAGCACGGCAGCCGCTTCCCCGGGCCCGACTAGGCGCTGCTGCCGCCATCAGCAAGAGCAGGAGCAGCCGGGTTGCCCCAGCACCAGCTGCCGCCATTCCGGCCCCTTACCAGCCGAGAGGCTGAGCAGAGCCTAGCGCCGCAGAGCACGCTGGGGACAACCAGAGCCGCAGCCAGACGCTTGCGCGCCTGCGCCGGCTCCTGCGCCTGCGCAATGGCGCCGTATACTCAGCAAAGCGCTCACCTTTCCATCCGGGGCTCTGAGACCCCACCCTTCCAGTGACGTTATTACCGAGCGCGTCACCGGTGAGGTCAAGCGACTCGTCACGCCCCGTTGTGACGTCACAAACCCATGGCCTTGCCCTCTCTTTTTTTTACCCTAGCTCCTCCCGTCGCTCCCACCCAGGGGCGGGACATTGCGATGAAGCAGGGGCAGGGGTCTCTGTCCGCCCTTGGTGGAGCAGGTGAGGCGGGTCCAGGTGGGATGGCAGGTGAGAAGCAGAGCCAGGCCAGGGGGGGCTGGACCTGGTGAGGGGATCAGTGAGGGCACCAGGTAATGGGGTCAACGATCGGGAAACTTGTAGTCTTCCCCTCTACCTCGACGCAGTACAGCCCTGGGCCCTACCTGCTGGAGCATCCAGGCCTAGCCTGGGATAGATCCTCAAACTTCACCCCTCTAGAACGCCCCCTGGTTCCAGCCCATCCCCATGGCCGTCTTGGGCGGCTCCAACGACACCTCCTGAGCGGCGAGTTCGACCAGCTGCGGGACTTCCCCATCTTTGAGAGTAACTTCGTGCAGGTGTGGAGCCCCAGAATCCCCCCCTCTACCCCCCCAATCCCAGAGCCTCTCCCCCATGTGTTGAACTGCTGTTCCCCCATCATCCATAGCACGGATTTGCTTACCTCCAACTCCTGGTGACCTCTGACCTCCTGTCCCCAGTCCAGTCTTTTAGCTTGATTATGAACCCCAACTTCTGTGTCCCCTGCCTCAGTTTCCCCAGATATCACACCCCATATGATTCTTGTCCTCTAATCCCATGAGGTCTGCCCCCTCCCCCAACCTGATTTACAACTGCTCTCTGACCCTGACCTCTGCTTTCTAGCTATTTTGTCTCTAATCTCTGGCCTGTGGCTCCAGGTGACTCGGTTTGGAGAAGTGGCCAACAAGGTTACCATGGGGGTGGCAGCCTCCAGTCCAGCCCTGGAACTCCCTGACCTGTTGCTGCTAGCTGGTCCTGCCAAGGAGAACGGTCGCCTGCAGCTCCTCGGGTGACTGTCCTATCTGGTCTCTCCCCCTCCTGCTGCAGCTCTGGTACCCAGCCCCCCTGGGCCAGGAGTGCTGATGGCTGCCAGTCCTCTGGACTGATTTCTACCCAAGACAGCAATCCACAGGAACCAGAAATCAGGGACTAGATGTACGGCAGGAGGGGGGAGAAGGGACCAAGCCTTCAGTGACACCTTGCAAAGGTCAGGAAGGTAATCATGGATACAACATCTTTGCATGCCATGACCCCTTGGTCCATGCACATAATCCCTGCTTTTGTTTGAGGATCAAGAGTTCTAGGCCAGCCTGGCTGCATTAGTGAGACCCTGTCTTTAAAAAATGAAATGAAATAAAATTTTAAAAATGAGGATAGCAAGGATGATCCTAAACACACCCAAGACTAATAATTTTTTATTTACCCCTGACCTAAGTGACGAACTTCACATGTGTGTGTGTGCTGGTACTGGGGCTTGAGTTCGCTTGACTTTTTTGCTCAAAGCTAGTTAGTAGTCTACCACTTGACCCATACCTCCACTTCTGGCTTTTGGGTAGTTAATTGCAGATAAGAGTCTCACCGGGCTGGGAAGGTGGCTCAGTGGTAGAGCACTTGCCTTGCATGCCTGAGGCCCTGGGATCGATTCCTCAGCACCACATAAGCAAAAAGAAAAAAGCCGGAAGTGGTGCTGTGGCTCAAGTGGTAGAGCACTAGCCTTGAGCTGAAGAGCTGAGGGACAGCGCCCAGGCCCAGAGTTCAGGCCCCACGACCAGACCCATAAAAAAAAAAAAAAAAAAAGAGTCTCACCAACTTTCCTACCTGGGTGAGTCACCAGCCTTCAAATGGCCTAGGTTCTAATTCTGCCTTTATTTCCTCTCTACTGGCTTTGGCTAAAAGCCCTATCTGCCCAGGCCTCAGGCTAAAAGGTAAAGCACCTGCTAATGCCAGCTCAGGTACTAGGGAGAGAGCACTGGGCAAAATTAGGCCCACATCTCTGCCCTGCCGTTCATGTTGCACTGTGAAGACAATAAGTGATGATCTGTCAGATGGAGAAGGGACCCTGGTGGGGTCTGTGAAGTTAGTGAAGTTTTAAATAGGCCAGGAGGGACCTCCCCCCACCCCACCCCCCCGCAAGCAGGTGCCTCCTAAAGAAAGAGGAGGGAAATGAAGTATGAAGTTGGGAGATGTGTGTAGAAAGAGGGCTGCGGGGGGCGGGGGGAAGCACAGCCAGTGCTAAGGTCTCTCAGGCACCTTGTTGCTGGAACAGTGCTACCAGCTTGTCAGAGTGGGCAGGGCCCTGGGATCGGTGTGAGCCTGCTCCGAGCAGCAGGTGGCGCTGGTGCCCCCTGGCGGCTGGGCGGTGCAGAGGAGCTGCACCCGAGGCCCTGGCTTCTCCCGCACAGGCTGTTCCCCCTGCAGTTCGTGCAGCTCTTCGTCCACGACGAGAGCCGCCTGCAGCTCAAGGTCAAGTTCCGCACCGGCCGCGCCTTCTACCTGCAGCTGAGGGCCCCGCCCGAGACCCGCGAGCGCGAGTTTGGCCAGTGGGTGCGGCTGCTCTACCGCCTGCGCTTCCACTCGGCCCAGGTCGCAGTGCCCTTCACACTGGAGGACTCGGTGCTGGACAGTGAGGACGATGACGATGATGATGATGAGGAGGAGGAGCTGCTGCCGCCTGAGGAGGTGGGGGCAGGTCTGAGCCCCATAGGGGCTCAGGGGCCGAACCCTCCAACTGAGGGAGGAGGCTGGGCCTGGGATCCCGGGCCTGAGCAAGACCCTGGGCCTTAGGGTTGTGAAACTCTGAGGAGACTGGAGGGTATTATGGGTGTGGGGGGAGCAGGGTGGCACATCCTGGCACTCCTTCCTGTCCTGGGCACATACAGCCTCCCCCAGCCCCCCAGCTTAGTGGGGGTACATGCTGGAGCAGATGTGGAGACAGGAACTGGACTACCAGGGTGCACCCCCCGCAGCCCTGCACACCCCCACCCCACCCCACTTCAGTCTGAGACCTGCTTCTTCTCTCCTCCCAGCTCCAAGCAATAGAAGCCAGACTGGACCCTCAGGCCTCTGAACTCTGGGGACTCTGATTCTGTCAGCATCCCTCACTGTCCCCCCCAAGGACCAGAGATGAAAGCAGCTGACCTCAGGGCAGACAGATGAATTATTAAAGTTAATAAAGATCCGGCACTTAATCAACCACCAGGCCCTGGGCCCTATTGGCAGCATTGCCTGCTCGCCATGTCTTCCACACTCCTGGGGCCTCACCCTTGGTTCTTCGAGCAGCCGCAGCCTCCCCAGCCTGTGCCTGATCCTGGGCTCCTACCACATAATCCCGGTTCACCTTTGAACCTGTGTGGTTGCCATGGCAACATGGCTCCCACTAAAGTTGCTCTTTGAATGTGGCTGCTCCATGACCCACCCCAGAGTGTGACCAGCCTCAGCCGGGAGGCGGGAGAGGCACAGACAGACACGACACACAAGGGACAGTAGATGAAACACTCTTGTTGAAGTTCATAACTCCAGAAATGAGACACCGCTCCCCACCACTCCCCAAGGGGTATAGGATTGAAGTTGGGACTCAATTGTCTTGACGGGTGTGGGGCCTCGCATCACTGTGGCACTGTGGGGGAATGAGAAAAGAGGGGTAGGCGTGGGCCCAGGCACCTCCCACATCCCCAGCTGCTCCCTCCCTCCCCGCCATGCAGGTGACCAGAAGACTAGCCCACCCCATTCCAGAGCCTACCCCTCCTTTTTTGGGGGGGGGGTCCGGTCGTGGGGCCTGAACTCTGGGCCTGGGCGCTGTCCTTCAGCTCTTCAGCTCAAGGCTAGCACTCTACCACTTGAGCCACAGCGCCACTTCCGGCTTTTTTCTTTCTGCTTATGTGGTGCTGAGGAATCGAACCCAGGGCCTCAGGCATGCAAGGCAAGCGCTTTACCACTGAGCCACCTTCCCTGCCCTTAACCTTCCTTTTTCTGTTGAGGTGGGCACCCAGTAACTTTCTCCAGGCCAGCCTCAAACCTTGATTCTCCCAATCTCTGCTTCTCCCCCCCCCCCAAGTAACTGGGATTACAGGCATAAGCCACTGCACCCAGCCTGTGCGGCCTTCTCCATAACACACACCACCTAGGTCTCCACCTGGCTGCCTAGTTCACTCAGCAGCACCTTGGGGAGGTTTCCAAAGTATCCTCCTCAGCGGGGACCAGGCCCTGCTCACCCCGGACATCCAGCCTGCACTCGGCCAGGGCCTCCCCCAGCTCATTGAAGGCCCGACAGGAGTAGGTCCCGGCGTCAAAGGGCGAGGGGCGGCGGATGTTCAGTGTCAGGATGCCCTGGTAGTTAGTGATCAGGAATTTGGGGTCCTCGTGAATCTCCATCTTGTTCTTCATCCACACCACTTTCGGCTGGGGAGGGAGCCAAAGAGAAGGAAAATATCAGGGGGTGCCTGGAACAGTGGGGAGACAGTGTGGTTTGGGGGGCTGCTCCTTCTCTTAGCTGAGTGTCCAGGATCAGTCACATCCACCTGCTGACCCTCAGGCTGTTTTTCTATAAAAGCAAGCCACAGGCCCCTGGCACACACCTATAATCCCAGCTGCCCAGGAGCTGAACTATGAGGAGCACAGTTCAGAGCTAACCTGAACAGGAAACTCCATGAGAATCGTCTTCCATTAACCAGAACAAGGCTGGGAGTTAAGCAGGAGCTCAAATGGTAGAGCGTCAGCTTTGAGCAAAACACTTACAGAGAGTTTAAGGATCTGAGTTCAAGCACCAGGAACACACACACACACACAAACACACAGAACTTGGGCCAGTCATCCTGTCATCCTAGCTACTTGGGAGGCTGAGATCTAAGGATCACGGTTCAAAGCCAACCCTGGCAGGAAACTCCATGAGACTCTTTATCTCCAATGAACCACCAGAAAACCAGAAGTGGCGCTGTGGTTCAAGTGGTAGAGCACTCAACTTGAGCTGAAGAGCTCAGGGACAGCGCCCAGACCCTGAGTTCAAGCCCCACAACCAACCAAAAAGAGAGAAAACTTGGGGAAGAAAGGAGAGCTGGTGGGGTGCTTGGGGCCCCGTGCCCCTCCCCAGCACCTTGGGGTTGCCTCTGATAGCACAGTTGAGAGCAGCAGCGTAGCCCGCCACGACCACCCGGTCCATGAGAGGTGTTAGGAACTTGGGCGGCGTCCGGAAGTCATGCTCTTTGTACTCTACTGGTTTGAGGCTGATTCCTGGGGAGAAAGACACCTGTAAGGTGACCCCTGTCCCCCTCAAACCTCAATCCCCAATTTGGAGTGCCAGCAGAGGGGAGGGTGGGAATCCAGGCGTCCCCACCCTACCCCTGCCCCAGGAAGGGAGGGCTGCACCTGTCTTGAGGATGCGGGCGGTGTTCTTGGAGACCCCAGGGGAGTCGCTGAGCCCACAGATGTTCTCACTGAACACGCGGAAGTAGTACTCATTGCCCACAATGAGGTCAGACACGGTGCAGCTGGTGTGGCGGTTGTGTTCATACACATTGAACCACTCCTGGCATGGGGACACAAGGGACCAAGGCAGACAGGGAAGAGGGAGACACACACAAGTGAACACAGACACAGAAGGGGTGGTGGGGTGGGGCAAAGTGCACCCCAGTGTTGAGAAGCCTCTCAACACCATCTACAAAGCCACAAAGAAGCCAATGGATGGACAAGCCAGATTACCCTACCCCCACCCCATACAATGGATACTATGCAGCCTGGAAAACAATGCAGCCCTGAATGACATGATTAGATGACCGAGGTCTGAAGCCAGCCTGGGCGGAGGTGGGGAGCTGACCAGGGCTAGGAAAAGTGTCACACGCCTGTCAACCCAGCAATGTGGGAAAAGAAACAGGAGGATTGAAGTCCAAGCTGAGGACCAAGGATGAAGTGAGACCCTATCTGAAAAGATAACCAACGCAATACGGGCTGCTGGAGCAACTCAAGGGGTAGAGCAGGCCTCTCAAGTACAAAGCCCTGAGTTCAACCCCCAGTATTACCACAGTAATCAATGGATGATGGCTTGGTGACCTGTTCCTTTAATGAGTAGAGAAATGCATCCTACATGGCAGCTCAGCCCAGCCAGGATCTCTCCCCTGCCCCTTGCCCCTTCTCCCCTCCCCCTGCTTCCTCAGCCCTCCCCCTCCTCTCACCATGGTCTTCTTGTCGGCTTTCTGCACAAAATAGCCGGTGATCTCGCTGTTGCCGTTGTCTTTGGGGGGCTGCCACTCCACCAGTGCGTTAGTGCCCCACACCTCCTTCACCATCACGTTCTCCGCGGGCCCTGCCTTTTCTGGAAGCATTGCAGAGCCCAGGTGTCCGATGGCTACTACTCGTCTCCTCTTCCAGCCCACCCTTCCCTTCCTTGTGGATTCTGCCTTCGTCCCTCTTTTATTTTTAAAGTTAGTTAAAATTGTTTTGGGTGCTAGACACTCTGCTGAAAATGAGCTAGACACATTGTGGGTGGGGATGGGAAGGGGTGACATTGTCCCAACAGAAGTGTACTCTTTACCTGACTATGTAACTATCTCCTGTGGATCTCCTTTATAATAACAATCGGAAACTTTTTTGAAAAAAATTGTGTTAGGGGATCCTGGGGATGTGAACTTAGGGCTTCATACTTCCTGGACACTCGGCCATTCAAGCCACGCCCACTCCGGTGAGTCTCCGCTGGAGCCACGCCCTCGGTCACGCCCACTCGAGCCACGCCCACTCTGGCTACCCGTGCCTGAGTGGAGTCTATTCAAGTCCAGGGCCTTATAAGCCACGCCCCGTGACCACGCCCAGTCAAGCACACGCCCATGCGGGAGGATCCATCGCTGCAGTCACGCCCACTCTTCCCACGTGCGTGGGAATCTAGTGCCTAGATTCTCCATCTGGGCTCCTACCTCTCCTCTCCACCCGTCCCCCTCTTGCGCCCCCTACCCCCGGCCTTCCTCTCCCCTGCCCTCGTCCTTCCCCCACCCTTCTCCGACCCCCGCCACCCACCTACGACCCGGATGCGGATGGTGGCCGTGTCCTTCATGTTCTCGATCTGCACACTGAGCTCGTACTCCCCGGAGTCGGAGCGCTCGGCCTGGCGCACGAAGAACACGGTGTCCAGGTCGCTGGTGCGCACGTGCACGCGCGCTGGGTCCACCGGCGCCCCGCCCTTTGTCCACACCACCTGAGGCCGGGGCTTGCCCTGTGGGGCAGGCTGGGGTCAGCACGGGCCCGGGGGGCGGGGGGGGGGAGCCCCTGCTCGGCCCCGCCCCACCCCTGCCCCGCCCTGTGGGCACCTGGAACAGGGTGACAAGGTTGAGCGCCCGGCCCCGCCCAGGCCCGGCCCCGCCCCGCGGGCACCTGGAACGGGATGACGAGGTTGAGCGCCTCGCCGACTTTGCGGATGTAGGTCTGGCGCAGGTGGCGCGGGAGGCGGATCTTGGGCTGCTCTGAGGGCGCAGACAGGGTGGGGGTTCAGCCGGGGACCGGGCCCCCCCCCAGGGTCCCCTAGGGTGTGGGCGCGGGCGTGGGGAGAGGCTCACCCACGATCTCCCGGATGGTGACCGGCTGGAGCAGGGTGGCCGGCAGGCTGCGCCCCGCGATGTTGACGCCGACCACGCGAAAGAGGATCCGCGCCCCGGTGGGGAGATCCTTGACGGTGAAGCCGCACCGCTCCACCGGCTCCTTGTTTGCAGAGACCCAGTCCTCGGCTGGACAGAGGGGCGGGGACCTTAGGACCCCGCGCCCACCCCGCCCCACCCTCAGCTCCGGGTGCCCTTCGGGGACCTGGGCACGGCCCAGATGTGATACCCGGCCCGCAGGGTGCAGAGGCTGCTTGGGGCAGTGAGGCTATGCAGGCAAGGCGAGTGAGACCTTACTTCAAACCCAGAGTACAGACAAAAGAGCTGGGGGCATGGTTTGCATGGGGAAACACTTGCCTAGGAGAGAGGCCCTGAGTTCAAAACCCCATACAGAGAGAGAGAGAGACAGAGAGACAGAGACAGAGAGAGGAAGAGGAAGAGAAAGGAAGGAAGGAGGGACGAATGGACGGATGGAGGGAGGAAGACTGAGTAGGTGGTTGGCTAGGTTGGGTGTGTGGATGGATGGAAGGCAGGCAGAAGATAGAAGTAGAAGATCAA